ACCTTAAGGTGTTGTCATCAAAGGACATCAAAGGTGCTCTGTGAGGAGATGGAAGCAGCTTGTACCTTTCACACCCCACTCAGACATTATTCCCCCGTGGAAGCCACAACAGCCCCTCTCACTTGGTATTTCAGAGTCTGTAGTTTTCCCAGTGGGAGCTGGTGGCAGCAAAAGTGAATAGTGGGTGTTGTTTGCATGGCAATCAGGAGCATTCTGCAGGCCAGGCCCTTTGCCAGCCAGAGTAAAGAGCTGCTTTCACAATGTGACTGAGGTCAGGCTTTCTGCCAGCAGAACAGGGTTTACTACATGGACAAAACAAATTTCAGACTTCTATTTGAATCACTGCCCAAAGTCATCTTTTCTAATTACAGAAGGTCCAACAAACCAAAGACTGGTTCTTCAGGAACTCAGCATTTTAGAGCACATTCCCTGATCTACTTTCATTAAGGCAAAATATCTCTGGCCTTTCAGGTATTTCCAATCCAGTATTTCCAGCATTTTAACTGTATAAACTAGCCTGCAAATGAATACAGACTTTGTTGTCTAATAGGGCAAAAAAAGCTTTGACTTCTGTTGTCTGAGGTAGAAAGTCAGCTATTAAAAAATGCAAATGTGACTTTTCTGCTGCCTCTTCCACCACCATCATGTCCATGTCCTGCATTTGTTCAGCAGTGTTTGCCAACACCCTGCTTCTTTCACCAAAGCTTTCAGAGGAAGCTAAAGGGCTTACTTTAGAAAGATAACTGGCTTAGTTCCAGCTCCCAAGTGTCACTTATCTTCCCTACTGACTTTAACACCACTCAAGTCATTCAGAAACAAGATAATTTTATATTTGTCTGCCTTAAGCTGTACTATCTCACATTCTTAGATAATCCCTGTCCTCTTGTTTTTTTTCTTGGGTGCTATTTCTTAACTTCAAATTTGCCTATTAAATTACAAACGTGAAACTGTCTCTTAGGCAATTCATATGAACAGCAAAAGGCACTTGCTCTTCCCTTAGCTTTAAAACAAGCTTCCAGGATATTCTTAAACAAAAAAGAATAAAACCCACTTATCTTCTGCCTGCTGGGCAGAACTGTGCCAACTTTCTCTGAATCTTTGACTCTGCATCTCTGACAGGTGTTAAATTTCTCAGAATAATTTCTAAAAATTTAACTCTAATTTATCATCTTATCTAACACAGCATTAATATCCTAAAGGACCCCTGACAATACAATAAAGCATCATTCTGAAAATGCTTTTGGCTGTTTTGAATCAAGCTGGGCTTTCTCAAACTCTTCTGTGTTTGAACTCTCAACTCACATTCCAACAGCAACTTAACCAGCAAATATATCAATTTCAGGTTTTTTCCTCATCAGATTTAAAAGTTTTCTTTTTACCATATTTTGAGGTGCTGGAAATCAAGTGAAATTCCCACAGTCTTCTGCCAGAACTATTTGGATTCTCATCTTCTTTTTGTGCCTTTTTTGGGTGATATGTCACAAATTGTCATAGAGCAATGACACAGATTGAACTCTGTAAATGACATTCATTATTGAGATGTTTTCCCCAATACCAGTAATGTCACATCTGAGCCTCTCACAATATTGATACTGGAGCAAAGGACAGCTATTCCCATGCTGGAGGTGATGAGCTGGGCAGAGATGGGAGGGTGATCTGCTCAAAGGCAGAATAGGACTTGAACGTAATTTTTTTAAGTCATAGGTGAGCCACCCAGTTACTAAAGTGGAAGGAGACTTTTGAGAGAAGAGCATGAGAAAAAAAAAAATCATAGAACCATAGAATTGTTGGAAAATACCTTTTAATTTAAACAAGTTCAACTGTTATCCTATAACTCGCCAAGTCCAAAGTTTACTTCATCCCCAAGTGCCACATCTGCACGCCCTTGGGATGCTAACTCCACCACTGCCCTGGGCAGCCTCTTCCAGGGCTTGACAGCCCTTTGGGGAGAGAAATTTTTTCCTAAAATCCAATGTATATCTCCCCTGGCACAATTTGAGATAATTTTCTCTCCTCCTGTTTCTTGTTACCTGGGAGACATCAGCCCCCACCTGTCTACTACATCTTCTCCAATGGACAGTACCAACAGCTTCTTAAAATACATCCTCAGTTTTATTCTGTGCTTTCCTCATATACATACATTGCTGGCATTTTAAGAATATAAAATGCCATGCTTCATTTTTGGCACAAATAGAAGAATAACATTCTGAATTTGCAATACACTTCTATGTTCAAGAGAGAAGGTAAAACTGATAATTGCCTTATTTCTGCTTCTGGTTTGGAACCATAACACTAACCTTTACTTGTTAGTTAAGATTGGGTAGATTAAATTTTATTTTTCCTTACTAGACGATGAAATGAGGACAAAAGAGGCAAGATCTAGATTTTCACTAGACCAAATTATCTTAACTTTTTTTTGCTCATCCTTTTATTCATCAGTCTGTGATGTGTCTCTGTCTTCCCTTGCCCATCATGCCCAGCCCCTGAACAGAAATGGAGCTACAGATGGTTCTTTGGCAAGGTGGACTGAGATACACAGTACTGGTGGATTTTGGAGAAGGTTTGAACTGCAAATTCCTCTGTCCATGACCTGCTCTGGCATCCTTTGTATTCAATGCCTCAGGGTAATGCAGTGAACAACAGGAATAGCATCAATCACCACCTACTCACAATCTTGAACCATTTTCTGCTGTTTTCTGGGCTCATTGCTAAAGAAATACAGAATTCCAGCAGAAATACAGAGCACCATCATGTAACTGAATCTACCCAATGGAGCATTTATACTGAGTTCATCATCATGGTGACTGAGCATCTGTTTTATTTAAAATGAGAAAACAATTTCAATGCAGTGTTTAGTCAGAAAATCCTGCACAAATCCAGAAATTATTATAGACTCATCTAATAGTGCCTTTTTTTCCTACATTACCCCTGTTCTCTCTTAAGATACAACTTTTGTAGATGATGGATTAGGTCAGTGCCAAATTATAGCTTGCAGTAAAATTCTGCATCAGCCAAGACATAATCAACATTAAGCATTTGAGCCTCAAACTTCAATTTGATCATCACACAAAGCAAATTGCAGAGAAGTACCATTTATTTATGTTTACCCAGCTCTTGCTCATCTGCTAATGATGAGTGACAAGAGTGGTTGAGTGGCAGGTCAGCCAAAAATATCCATGTTTGGAGCAATTGGCTCAGCAATAACTCCCCTGTCAAAAACCCTCCCCAAGTCACCCAGCAATCAGCAGCCAAGGAACATTTCTGTACCTCTGGGCCCAATTTGGATTTTTTTTTACCTTGCATTTTCTGCTGTATGGAAAAGATTGCAAATGGTCATGACACTTGCAACAGTTCCAGAAGCACTTGGATGTCAAGAATCCATCACCTCTCACTTTTACTTTTTCGGCCTGTTTACTTAATTTTTTTGTTGTTGGCACAAGGTGAAAGTCCTGAGAGCAAATTCTGAGGCATGCATGGCCAATGTGGTCACTTCAGACAGTAATTTGTACTTTTTACTGTAGTCCTGGGGATGCTTAAGGGAAATGTCAAGTTTTAAATGTTACCTAAATTATTCTTGTTTCCTACTTGTAAATAAATTAAAGTAAGACTTGGGCAAGAGAGTATATATAAATATTAAGGAGAAAGACTTAATTGTCTACATTTATTCAGTTTTTTGTTGTTTTTTTATATCTTCTAGCTGCAGTGGTTGCATATAAACAAGGAATGAGGCTCTGTTAGAGCTTCATTAGTGTAAGATACCAGGTCAGCAGCTCAAATGGCATCTAGAAATAACTACTTCAACCCTAAAGCAGGTTATGGCAAAGTCTTTTATATATATATATTATATTCATTTTTAGGAGCCATAATACATGCTGAAAATAACAGCTTGTGTTAACATGCCAAGGAACTCTGGGTAAAGCTCACTGTTGAACATCCTTTACTGCAAGTTAGTTCTTGTTACCAGCTGCTCTCATGAAATGGTTATACACCAATTGTAGCTTCAGAGCTAATTCCAAGCACGCCATTATTTCTAACAAAGTAGATTTTGCAGCCAAGATTAGTTAACCCAACTGAATTTCCACTTTACTGCACGATTTTTGCATTTCTCTACACAGCTGTCTGCTCAGAAGCAGGAGAAAAATGAGTTCCCTCCATGCATTCTTAGTCTTATTCTTTTAAATAAAAAATATTTTTAATGTTGTTTATTTATCTAGGATACAATTTCTGGCATATAGCTATAAATGTGGATGACAAGCCTCTCTATTAAACCAGTTGTTTATATGCATTTTTTTAAAAATCACAAAATAACTGCCAAAAACAGTAAAAATGCAAAACAAAGCACAAACCACATTTGTCAGCAACGGCCTAAATAACCTGTTTTAATAAAGAGAACATCAAAGAGAGTCAGACATAAAAAATTATTTCAAACAACTGTTTTTGCATTTCTCCTTAGTTTCATATAGCAAAATTAATCTTTTTAACAGATAATCTTAAAACTGTAGTAGTTTGCTAAAATGCAAAGTAAACTGCTGGAAGTACAGGTGATCATGTACAATTCATGTTACCAATTTATTAATAAAGCAAGAGCACTGACTGCTGTGGCCTTATACATAAAGTATAATTTTATCTCTTATTGCAACCCCTGATTCCTCTGTGCTTGCCTTGAGGCTGCAGAGTACAGATTACTTGGTGCCCATGGCAAATGCTGCTGGAACAGGGAGGTGATGTCAGCCCCTGCAGTGCAATCTGTAGCTGGATGTGAGTGAATTCACTGGCTGCCAATTCAGAGGAAAACACACTGATGCTCTACCTGCTGGAGCCAGATGAAATGACTAAAATGACATGTACTGCAAACAGCTGAGAAATTACCCTGCTAGGAAATACCCAATGCAGAGATGGGATCCCAGTCCAACCAAGTGGTGTGTGGGGAGTATTTGCAAACACTCTATGGAATGATTCTCCACTGGTTAATTATAATCCTTCCCTTCACCCTCTTCTAGGTTCAGCTGATCCACTATAACCATGAGCTGTACACAAACGTCACAGAGGCTGCAAAGAGTCCTAATGGGTTGGTGGTAGTTTCCATATTTATGAAAGTAAGTATTCTTTACTACAGGTTCCTAATATAGAGATAGTAAACCTTTCCCTGAACTGTAAATGTAGGAGTCAGACACCTCATTATGCTACAGCAATGTCCAGAGTCTGATCTGGAACCCAGAGACTGCCTCACCCTGAACTGAGCACACCATCTGTTCTCCAAAGCTTTTACAATAAATGGGAAATTAAAAGGGATAAGAGAGGTGGGGGAAAATCCCCTTACATCATAAACATCACTTATAACACTTCAATGGCTATGGCAGAAGTCACTAGCTTTGCAAATTCAGTGTTTCTTCATGAAATGTTATTCATCCAAATCTCTTCCAGGAGATTGAGTCCTCGGGAAAGAGGGCATGTCATGCTGATGTGTCAAAGCCAGCAAAATAAGTTTCTTCAGTGTTATTTAAATTGTCTTCAAACTAACAAAACTGAAAGAATGTTAAAAGTAGAACTTCTAATATCTTCCATTTCACAGAACTACAAAGAGGTGAATATTTTGTCTCTATTCTGTTTCATTCAAGGTACATAGTTAAGTCTATAATTTATAGTGATTTAACACTGAACTCAAGACTTCATGGTTTTCCCAAACTTATTTAATTACATTGGAAAAACCTTTTCTCTCATTTTATATAAAAAATATTCTCCCTTCCAAATGTTGCTAATATTCCTTCATCAGTCTAAAAAAGTGTATTTCTGAGTAATGCTGAATTTACCTCGTCATACCTTAGGTATGAGATATCTATTAGCTCCCCTTAGTACTCTAATCCCATTTTATAAAGGTCCTAACAAAATATTAACCTCAGAATTAAAAGTATGCATTTCACAGAGCATATTGAATAATTGGATATAAAAGGGCACTTTTCACACAGGTCTAATATTTAAGAAAGATATTTAGACTACCTTTTTTTTTTCATCCAAAATGTACTGTACCAAACAATCTGATCTGCATTCATGAAAAAGGGAAAAATTAAAGAGAAGACAGAGGGAATCTTGTCAATATTTAGAAGTGCCTGCAGGTAGTTGTCAGAGGATGGACCAGGGTCTGCTTAGGGTTGCTGAGCAACAAGAAAGAGGCATCAAGGGGGCAGAATCTGACACGTTGAAAGTTCCACCTGAACATGAGGTGTTACCTCATACATTGCTCAGACATAAACCAGAGGAAGAGAGCTTTAATTTGCAATTAAAATAGCCTGCTGCAAGGAAATTATATTTATCAATAAATAAAGTAATAGAATACTAATGAAAATCCTGCCTAATATATCAACCACCTGCAAATTTCATCAAAGCTGTTGGAGAAGAAACTTGTGCTCAGGCTTTTATTCAGGCATTAATTTCTGTTCGCCCTTTTCTCCCATTCCTGTGTTTTATTTATTTTAACAACTTTCTATCAAGCTTCATTAGAAAAACAAGTAAATAATTCTTTATATCTCCCACAGCAATGAAGAAAAGGCAGAACCCAATTGGAGCAGTATCAGAGTGAGTGTGTGTGTGCACACATGAAGACCTGCAGTTCTGGCAAAGAAATGTTTGTGAGAAGAATTTGACATTGTGCATTTTCTCTTCTGCAGGTATCTGAATCATCAAATCCATTTCTAAATCGTATGCTTAACAGAGACACCATAACAAGAATAACATATAAGAGTAAGTTTCTTTTCATTTCTTCTGGTAACAGCTGTGTTCTTTCAGTATCAAGTAACACATTTAGTGATCCTGAAACAAGAGGCATTTTATTATGAGCAGAAATTCTAGGTTTGCATTGCCAGCAACTCTGCATGATAAACTCAGGAATGTGAAAAAGCTTGTTAGGTCATCACTTTATCAAATGAATTTTGAACTTCAAAGTCTGTTTTATGTCTGAAGGTGCACCAACAGATTAATGAAGTTATATTTCACATATACATATACTGTATTCACACAGAATGCTCAGGAGAAACTTACTACTGTTAGCAGTAAAAGGGACATGTGGAGCAGCCTGGGTTATATTGGATCTGGTTATGTCAAGGTGCTGCACCATTACCTGGATTTAGTGTTCATCAGTGTTTTCTTTTTGTACAGAAAGTTATAACATTCCTATTCAACTACTGCTGCACTTAACAGATACAGAAAGATGTCATTAACATAGCTTGTATATTTGTTGTATTCACATTTGAGAAGCCTTTAACTGATGATCCTCAATAATTCCACATTCATATATTGACCTTGTGGAAAACTGGAGCTTAAGATATTTTAGAGAAATTTAGAGAAAATAATGAAAATATGTATAACAAATTAAACCTCTTCTCCTGAAAACCTCATTTCCTTTGTCAAATTTTCTAAGCTTCTATGAAGTTTTTCATTTCAAAATACCAGAATTTAACTTTATAAAAGTACATAGCAACCTGATAACACAAACAGTTCCTTGTCCTCTCCTGCAGCACACACACCTTTCACCCCACTGATGTTCCTCTGATTTTACCTGACAGTTAACAAATCCTGTTACATCTTTGGTCCAAATAAGAGTCTTCTATGATAGTAAAACAGTTCTCTACAATACCTATGGAAAGGAAGGCAACAGAGGGTTCTCCACGGAATGTTTTTCCCAGATTGTTCTATCACTATCAAATGTCATCTTCTCTGCATGGAAGAAGCAGATCAGTCCCATTTTTAAACTGCTTGTCCTGATTCCTTGCAAGAACACAGCAAGGCTGTTCTGCAAGAGCTTCCTGCTTACCAGTGCTGCTGCAGCACCCTGGAAACAGGGAATTATTGTTAAGGCTGTGTGTGCTTTTTCCAGCTCTTTCACCCACAAATTCCATATTCCCAGCTTCTGTCTGGGAACCAGCCAGATGTTCTCCCATGGGGTCACACCCTCCCAATAGCAAATATTTCATTTGTATGCTGAATTTACAGCTCCTCTCTGGAGTTGTGAGCATCCCACAATCTCCCATTGCTTGTTTTCTCTTCTTACAAGAGAAACACAATTTCAATCACACCTAATTTGGGTTCACTAAATGAAATTTTGCATGAAGATGAACATACAAAACACAGGCTTGAAAAGCAGTGATTAACAGAATTGCTTTAATTTTTAACCACTGTTTTTGCTACGTTTATCTGTTAAAATTAAACCCCTGGTAGACACAATGCACATAATATTCCACAGGGCATTGGACTACTTACTGTAGTAACAAGTATTGACTGGGAATTTTTAGTGTAAATTTGGAACATGAAAGTGTTATTGAAAGTAATTTTGTAGTTGTCTTGCATGATGGATTATAGCATGATTGCTGAAAATTAATTTTACCTCTTCCACTGTAAGGATTTCTAGTGTGCCTTTAGCAGCTGTAGTTTTTCAGCTTCTGCTTTAGGGCACCACTCCTGGAGCCAATGCTCAGCACGGTGCTGACAAAATGCCCAGGCCCCATATGCTCAAGAGAAGCATGGAGAGAATGATAAATGAAGCACTGGTTCAGAGTCAGGACAGTTCATAACATAAATAAAAGGTTTTGGGGTTTTCTTTTCAAGAACAGCAACAAAATTAAGTGCTGTCTCTCCTGTTGCATAAAATTTCCATGGGCAAAGGGCATTAAAAGGGAAATTTCTACTCTTAGATATTAATGGCTACAGTGAAATAAAGTGGACCCCAAGGAATTTTTAAGGAGATTTTAAATGCTAATTTTATTCTGTTATCTCAGCCCAAAGAATCTACTGTGAGAAGGCTGAAACAAGGGTTTTCCAAGCAGGCTTTAGTCAGAAGCTGTGTGGATATCTCAGAAGAAAAGGGTTTTATTATTCCTCTTTAAGTGTGCCATTTGAGGGGATAAGTTAGTTTACTTTCAAAGCAGTTATGCTACATGAGCTTTCACCCAGTGTTTGCTTAACATCAGGAAAGAACATAACTTTATAGATTCACAAAATTCCACATAAAAATTTGGTCTTTTCGTTGTCTGGTAAGCAGAGAAATTGAGTATCTCTACGTTCCTTACCCTGTAAATCTATCCTAAATCCTTTTCTGGATTATCATGATATGAACTTTAAAATAAAATGTACCTTCCTCCACTCAATTAACAATATATTCCCAATAAAAAGCATTATTATGAAGAGGACATACACAGATTTTGCTGTGAAAGACAACACTACACATCTATTACAAACCTAGGGATAAAAGGATTTCCATTATTTCCTAGGTAAATTGTCAGAGTCAAGGCCTTTATGTAAATGAACATGAAATCTAATGAAATCTTATTTGTAGAGAGAAGAATTCCTGAGTTTGGAAATCATCCAAAGGCACCAGCAGATCAAGAGAAACAGATAATGGGCTGCAGATAGGAATGATGCTGGGGATCCATGAAATGCTGGATGGGCTTATGAAAGGAAGTTTGTCACTGGCAAGAGATCATACATGGTGATTTTGAGCACTTTGAACATATTTGCAGTAAATATAAGCAAGACTTTGAAGTGCTGCAATCTGTTAATCCCAACCCAGCAGGTCTGCTTCAGCTCCACAAGAAACCCTTACCAAGATGTGGGGAAAGGGCAGACCTGTTCATGGGAAACATGTTAGGAACCAAATCCTTACTTTGTAGTCTTGTCTCATGGAGTCATCTGACTTCCCAGGGGGATATAACTCATATACAGGCAGTAATAAGTACTGCTTTTTCTTGGACAAACTTTTATTTCATTCACCCCTACCTTCCACTTTTCCTGAAATGATATTTTCCTCCAGTCTCATATCAATATCCCTCATCTGTATTAATCTTCAGTTAGTTTTCCATCTCCTAGTAAACATTTCAGGGCAAATTCTACCTGGCTGAAATAATTTTATCCCAGCTGAAGCCAATATGGCTGTGAGAAAGCAGATTTGGTCCTTAGGGATCTCCTGCCTGACTCTGATGCTGCACTTGGTGCCAAACACACCATTCTCCATGGCTCATAAATAATAAACAAGATGTTCATGGGGGAAAAGGAAATGTGTGTGATGACTCATTGAAAACAGGCACTGGCATGAAAAAAAGTCCCATCAGTTCTCTCCTGATGCAATTCTAGCAAAATTATGAGTGCACTGCAAATAAAGTTTTTAAGGGCTAGGACACAGGTCTATTCAGTCATCTCTACTTGTTCAAGTATTTTTACTGTGTTTTCCTGCTTTTGGCTGGAAGATGTGGGTTTAGAAAGAGGCTGTCACGGGCCATGGGCCACTGAAGCCTGGGCATATTAAAACAGGTTCCAGTCACCTCCCAGACACTAACAGCACTTTCCCTTCTGCTGGAGGATCCAGCCAGCCATTCAGCAGGGCAATCACCCTTGCTCAAGCTGCAGGAACAGGACAGAGGGCTCTGTTTCTGACAAACATGAGAGGACCTGACAAGATTTTATCTTTTAAAATAACAAATACATTTAAAATATGAAGTAACAGCAAGGCCCTGGTCAACGAGGCAGAAACATTACACTCTTACCTTGGCATTTTAACTGATGCTGTAACTGCCAATATTGTTGCCCCAAGAACCTGTACCATGTTGACTGTGCTGTATTAAAATAAAAGACAAGGACACATTTGCTCTGCCTGTGTTCTTTGATTTTCTGTTGCCCATGACAATAGTCTACAGCCTCTTTTTCCATCAGATTGTAAGAGACAAGACTTTTGCTCATCTAAGTTATGTCCTTCAGCTACAGTATCTTAAATTCAAGTTAAATTGTGCCTTTCATTTTTAGCTCTTATGCACTTCCTTGATCATTTGATTTCTCTGCAAATCAAGGCCAGCTCATGTTGAGCATTGAAAGAGGGAACACACCTCAGTGTGCTCTTTTCCTTGCCTACATTCTAATGTTCCCTCTGCAAATGAACCAAATTAGAGACACCACACACAAGTGGAAGGGTTCAAAAAGATCTCACAATGTTACAAATCATAACCACCCCAGCTTTCTCTGAGATACACACAAGCAGCAGTGTACCAGTACTAAAATACTGTGGATGAACTCCTACAGCTTAAGATTTGGCAGTAAAAGCTGAGTGTTAGCTTTGACAGCACTGCCAAAAGAACTGTAGGGCCAAAGAGAAATAGTGCAGGTAGTACAGAAAACACTAGGGAACTTTAATGAATTTTGAAAGATATAACCATATCTCATTATATTTTGTTACATATCCACAGAATAAATTCTGTTGCAGAGGAATACACCTCATTAATTCCCAGGGAGCCTTAGAGCAAAGGCAGGGACCCTGGTACTGCTCCCCAGCAAGCTTTCCACCTAGAATGGAGCTTTCTGAAGGAGCTGTCACTGCACCTGCATGAGGCCAGGAGGCTTCATGGAGCTTCTTTACTATCATGAATTAACTGCAACTTCCTCTCATGCCAGAAGGGCAATTAAGTTTTAATCTTGGCCTTCCTGAGGCTTTGTTGAGCAAAAATTCTTAATCACCCCAAAAGATGGAAAGTTGACATTCTCCAAAGGCTTCTGCATCTCAATCAATAACTGCAACTTTAAGAAGCTTTTGAGTCTGGTCCCTAAATGTGATTCAGAGTTGCCCTGTGAGTGCCTGTGCTCAGCTCTCAGTGTGTGAATGGGAATCTCAGTGCAGCTCCACCCAGCAGGGTCAGGGATGTTTCTTGTGTTTCTTGTTCTTGTCTGAACTGCTGGAGCATCCAGCAATGTGCATCTGTTAAACTTTGTTCTCTGGTAAAACTGAACATCATGTCATCATGTTCTGCAATTAGGAGACATGAAAAGGGTGGTGGTTTTGTTTGTTTTGGGATTTTTGTTTGGGTTTGTTTGTTTTGTGATGCTACTGCTTTACCTGAATTGTTTTCCTCCTTTGTTCTCCAGATGATGCATACTTTCTACAGGGGCTTAATATTGAGGAACTTTATCCAGAGACATCTAGTTTCATTACATATGATGGGTCAATGACAATTCCACCCTGCTATGAAACAGCAAGCTGGATAATAATGAACAAACCTGTCTACATAACAAGGATGCAGGTAAAGCAATTTACAAATTACTCAGTCTAGGATAGATACAAAATGTTATTTTAAATATAATATTTATTGCTTTACATTAGATTCAACCTTTGTGCTGTAGAGATCTCTGCATGCAATTTATACAGTTTGCAAAAGCATTGAAGAGGTTTTTTTTCCAAAATAAAAATACTGAGTGTTTAGAGCTCTGTCAGTATCTACACAACACAAACTTTGAGGGGGGTCCTGTTTTCAGTGAGGGTATGAACCAAATGGCTTCCTGCAGTCTCTTCACATCTGCATCATCCTGTGATGCTGTGAACAGTTTCCTGGGGACTTTAAAACAAGTACAGCAGTGTCGTGCAAACACAACTGAGGTGATTCAGGTTAACAGAGGCCACTCCTGGGTCTGAATAAACACACGTCCATAGCACATAAATGTGACAGTGTCACTGATGGACAAAATATATTGAGGGTTCTCCAGACAATCTGACACACACAGCTGTTCTGTGAGGGAAAGAAAGCCTTTATTTCAGGGTTTTCTCAACCCTTATGTAGTTTTCCCAACCAGGTTACCCTGATTGGTAGAAGGACCAACACCCCTTTGGTCCCATTGGTGGGACCAGAGAAAACACACCAAGAACATCTGTTCAGTATTGTTTTGAGAAATATTATCTATTTACAATAACACAATCCTGGAGAGAAAACTGTTCCCAGGAACTTTTCCCCTGGGAAGAGATGAGCTCCTGAAACTCTCTCAGGCTCAGAAATCCTGTCCACATGACAGAGATATGGTATCTGGAGCCTTCTAGGAATAAAATCAGCCAATACTTTGTGGTATAGAATAAAATTACAGAGTACACACCACAAATACCTTCAGAAAAATCAGACTGATATATTGAAGTCCCTATTAGAAAGAAGCAGGAGAAATTATGCAAGAGAAAACAAAACTTCACATCCAAAAGGAAGCTGATGAGGAAACACACCAGTGGAAAAATCTCAAAAACTACTTTTCTTACAATTTGCTTACAATCCAATGACTGGCATCAGAAAACAGCAAATTTAACACCAATTGCCCTCTTCTCCAGAGTTTCCATCAGTGAATTGCCTACATACCTGTGAGCTGAACTAAAACCTCTCTTGCATACTGGAACCTCAAGGAATACTTGAGCCACCATCTCTCTACCCCAGGCAGGCAGCAGAAGAAATATGGCCTGAGAAAAGAAATGAGGAACAAGAAAACAACTCTAAATATCACTTTGGGATTTAAAATCATGTTAACATTGTAAATAACATGACCTTAAAAAGCCTGAGATGTTTTATTTTTGTGATATTCCTTCCATCCAGTTTAGTCTGGAAGCAGAGGAAGCACTTTGTTTCTTTTCTAAATGGGTGATTTGAGAGAATGACACCACAGAGCACAGGCAAAAAGGCTCAATATTATGAACATTTGAAACACAGCACCTGAATATTTTCCTACATGAAACATTTTTAGGTCCAACATTAATGTGCAAGATAAGAATTAGAATATTTCTAGTCTGTGCTGCTACCTATGGGTTATAACCTCATGATACTTGTTCCTTGTCATGCTTTAATGGTTAATCACATCCTCCATTAATACTTAGTTATATCCTCCATAATTAATGCTGCAAATGGATTTTGTGGAATACTTACTAATTATGTTATGTAGTCAGACTGAAAAAGCAATGCCTAGCTCAAGTTTTCCCTAGAAATTTTTAATGATTTCCAGTACATAAAACCCAGCTACTGGATTTACCCATTAAATGCCATAAACAAACCTCTTAAATTGTACACTGATGTGGAAGATATTTTGGTTTTATATCTTTAAACCATAATATTGAGGATTTCTGGTTTTTAACTTGAAACTTCTTTTCCCCCTCTCTGATTTTGGTGGACTAGAATCAATTAAGAGTTGCACAGTCACCATGACAGCCATTTCTGCCAGCCAGTGCTGGATGCACAGGATGATTCAGTATTTCCCTCTGTGCTGTGAAACCACCTCAGAAGAAGGCTGGAGTCTGCTGTAGGAGCACTCACAGTCACAGCATAGACAGCATCATGACAGACCTGTCAGCAAAAATGAGGCTCTCATTTATTAATATCATTAATTTCACAACTTCTGCAGCATCACTGTCAGTTTTCCTTCCCATCCAGCCTGCCCCTACCTGGTTCTTGAATAACATCATCCAAAACTGTGGCTTAACAACTGAAAGCTGCACTGATAGCTACAAAATTCAGGAAATTAGCTTTTGTCATTCACCAAGTTCACTTGTTCTGTACCAGCTGCTGCCATGCAGCACTGTGGATTCCATTCCTTTCCTCTCCCACAAGGATACCTCAATACTATTTTCATTTTCTTCCCACAAAACTGGTTATTCTCATCTAAAACTGGGCTCAGAAACAGAGGAGCACACAAGGAATGGTTTTAAGTTAACTCTGGCTACAGACTGTTAGAGTTAACTTAAATTCTGTTTTACTGAAATTGCGTTTCACTGAAATTCTGTTTCACTTCCATTTATTAACTAATCTATTTAATAGTGTTGTATGTTGTTTACTTACAGAAAAGACCATTACTAAAAACCCCTTGTTTTGTCTTTATAGATGCATTCTTTACGACTGCTAAGCCAGAATCAGCCATCACAGATATTTCTGAGCATGAGCGACAATTTCAGACCAGTCCAGCCTCTCAACAATCGATGTATCCGAACCAATATCAACTTTAGTTTACAGGGAAAAGATTGTCCAAACAATAGAGCACAGAAACTACAATATAGAGGTACATTCCACCTCCAGAATAACCCTGTCTTGTTTTCACTGAGCTCCTTTCTGTGAGATATCCAAGGGCACACAAATAAAAACACATAAAACTCCAGATATGGGAGGATAACTGCCTCAGTCAAATGCCACACATTTGAAATAGATGAGTAAATGTGCAGGACATGACAAAAAAACAGTCTGGGACATCTAATATGTTTTTTTAGAAGTGAATACATCGGGTCCTTGGTTTTCTAGCCTCATTTTAAGTTCTTCTCACCTTACAAAGTACATTTTGCTCTGGTTTACTCACCCACAAAGGGGGATGAGCTAGTCTTGATGACAACTGATCTCAAACAAAATTAATAATTGATAAGACTTAATTTTGCTTTTTTGGTGCACCACCATAACAAACACCTAAATTTCTGAATGTTGTGTTAAGCTGTGGATATAAACAATGAAGCAGCTCAGTCACCTGGAGCTGGAGTGTTACAGTGCCACAGCTATGGCTCACAACTCATGTGTCTCATGCATCTTTGAGCCCATGCACACAACTGTGTTGCCTGAAATAATGGTGTTGAAGTGCCCTCACAGCAGCAATATCATCATTATGAAGGAGTAGTGCTAAAGGAAAAGAAAGGACATTTTCAGCAGCATAGCAGATGACTGTGTTGCAGTACTTGAAAGAAACAGTCATTCAATTATTTTCTAGGAAAAGGAGGAAACTGAACCTCCTGGCTTTTTTAAGACATTTTGTCTACGTGCCTTATACAGTGTTAAATTAATTTGATTCGCAGTGTTAAACCAGTTTCATATTTAGAGTTTATTTAAGCATAATTGTTTTTGTTTGTTTCTCTTCCAGTAAATGAATGGCTCCTCAAATGAGACAGAGCAAGCAGAACCCAAATCCTCAGTGGAATGCTCCTTCTGGGAATTGACATCATCTGCAATGCAACCTCCTTCTCTGGGCTCACGTGCACCATGTGCTGTGGGAAAAGAGCTGCCATGTTGGAAAACTCCTCAAAATTCATTCATGTGACTGGTGGCCATTTCAAAACAAAAACAAAAAACAAAACAAAACAGTTACAGTTTAATTACAGTAAATGTGATTACAATTTTCCTGAACTAATTTAAAGTCACAAAGAAAGACTTTTCAGCCTTTGTACATATAAAATTCTTCCTCTTCTCCCCAACCCCCACCCCCAGTTGAAAAAAACAAAAAAAGATAAAAGGTGGCTCAGTACAGCATCAAAGTGGAGTTGTGTTCTGTGTGCCAAGTAATCCTTGGAAAGCTCTCATTATTTCACTATTATTAATGGATACCGACAAGACAGAACAAGACTACTGTAGAGGAAACTTATTTCTAGGTTATGATCTTTCTGTTAATTTCATTTAAAAAGGGACAGGCTTTGAGAGATAAGTATTGTAAATATATCACTGCAGAATAAAAAGGAAATTGAAATATTTCCCTCTGTCACATATCTGTAGTAGGATTTGGCAAAATCAGAATATATCCATTTTCTGTTTCTTGTTTTACAACAGATCATATGTTGTGTTGGTTACTATTAACAGCTCAATAAATGTGTTTAACAAATTAATTTAGTTAAGTTGCTTTGATTTCTTTTTTCCTTTCTGAAACAACAAGCTTCTACTACTTGTGGACACATTATTTGTGTTTTTCTCTTTTTTTCTTCTTTTATTTTCTTTTTTAACTTCATTTCTTTATTTGCAGCCCATTCAAGTGAGTTAATTGCAATTGGGAATGTCTTTAAAGGTGGTATAACTTTAACTGTACTTTCTAGTCCATCATTAACAGGAAGCAGAAGCAGAAAGCAGTTGAAACATGTCAGTTTAAAATTGTCATTTTCCTTGCTGAAGCCATTATTGGGACAAACATTCAATCCTGTAAATCGGTGGTTAAAGGGATATTTTTTCTTTACAGATAAATCAGGAGCTGACCAAGTCAAAGCAAATGCCTTTTTTTTAATTTATAATGGTCATTCACTGTGTTTGGTTACTGTCAAGAACTCAATAAATGTGTTTAACAAGTTCACACAGTGCATGTTTGACCTTCTTGAATACTGAGGGATTTTTCAGGTTGGTTCTTTTTTTCAGTCTGGAGACTGGCCAGGCCTCGTGATCTCTAATGCTCACGTTGTACCACATTTAAGTTCACAGAAAGCAAGGTGAAACCAGAAAATGCTCTGGCACCAAGGAGTTGTTTACACCCAGTGGAAGAACAGGCACTATAAGAAGTGTGAGGGAACAGCCAATGATATACACAAATGATATTAAGGTTCCTTATGTAAAGGATTCTTCAGAATTACACTGCCTAGCAAGAAGAGAACAAATTTGAGATTGCCTTCATGCTTCTCAGACAAAAACACTGAAAGAGACAAACACAAAAAGAGAAACTTCTCCAAACTTTACTATCTAGAAAATGTATTTTCTTTTAACAGCATTTACCTGTAGTTGATTTACAAAACAGCACAGGAATAACCTTCTGTGCAAACAGCACCACAAATTCTGTGAAATGACTGACATGAGACAGACAGCAATGCAAACTGGATGTTTTTATAGTGTAGGATTTGTCAGTGTGAATCAGGAGATATTGTGGAAGGGCAGTAAAGCCTAGAGAGTGATGGTGACAGGCTGGAGCCTGGCAAGGTAAGCAGAGCCCTTTGTGTCTCAGGAGTGGGCATCTTATCATGATGGGTGGAAAAGAGAAAGAAAAAAAAATCAGATGAGACCGACTTCAAGATGTTTCTCTTAATGAAAGTTTTCATGTCAACAGCCATTACAGTGCTAATGTCAACATTTTTTTGGAAGTAGTACCCTTATAGCATTCATTAGGGATGTCATAAGCATCCCACAACATATGGTGTCTCAAATCCAATTACTTTTCTATTCAAACCATGACCTTGAATAGGTTTTAAAACAAGAAAGAACACAGAAAAAAAGCCCCTATTGCTTATTTGATGGCTCAGTGGCATAGCACTGAAATTCAGAATTATGCCAAGTTGTCTCTCTGTTTGTTTTGCTTTCCAGTTTTGTATCTAACCTAAAAAAAGTGATGGAAGCTTATTTGAGGAAAAACAAGTAGTGGCAACATCTACTTCCTGAGACTGTTAGCACATTAAAAGCACCATAGACAGAAAGCACACAGAAGTACCTCTAATTCCGAGGGCTAACACTGGAGTTCTCTGTATCCTGCATGGGCTGGAGCTGAATTCCCTCTCTCTGCTGTGGTAGCTCCCCAACCCATATGGACAAGAGACAACCAGCATTTCCTCACTGCAGCTGCTGCCTTGAGACACCTCATGGACATTCATGGACTGAATCTTTCCAGTTCAATCCATGAAAAAAGAAAAACAAATACAGAAATCTTAGAAGTGTTCCTAAGACAATTATTTAGGCCCTTTTCCCGGGTAATTGAAGAAATAAAAAGAAACTTTTTCATCTAAATTTTACCTTTTGAAAGCACCAATTTTTACACAAAGATTATTTGGCAATATTTTTGTCACTTAGAGTTTTTCTTCTGTGATCATCTTCCCCTAAATGATTTAAACTAAAGTCCCCAAGGATATTTGCTTATGTGAAGATCTCAAAATCTAATCCATTCTAGCTCATCCATGTTATGTTATGCCTCCAGAAAATAAGTTCTTTATATTTATAAATGATATCTTACTGGAACTTCCCCTCTTGCTACAATAATAGCGATAGCACTGTGCTGCTACACAAATAACACTGGTTATAGAAAACTTACAATTATTTGCCACGTTTTTGCAAGTTCTTCCTACATCAGATTATATTGTTACAATATAAACACTCATGCCTTTAATGGTACAATTAAATCTAGAGCAATTACTGCAGATAGTTCCCATACTTCTTCACTGAGCTTTGCTAAATATCCCAAATCATTCTTGCAGTTTAATGCATTTAAATATGTAATTATGTTTAGCACATTTATTATGCACAGTCACTGGAAATCAAGTTCACTTTATTTTCTAATTGCTACTTAGAAACACTGGCAGACAAAATGAGTGCTGAGGCTACATTAATGCACAGATAAATACATTAACCTAAACCTCTGTTACCCTTTTTAATGATAAGAACATTAATTCAAGACATTCACTCATTCAAATATTCATAATTTTCCTCTTAATTTTAAAGTAACTTACAATCAACAGAAAAATCAAATATGATTAATATTTTAGAAAAAAAAAATTATAAAAGAAAAATCCAGGGGGAAAAAAAGAACCCATAAAAAAAAAAAAATAATAATTTGAAGAGCTGACTTGTCTCAGTAGCCATCAGGATTATTCAAGGGAATAGAGCTCTTTTAAAATATTCCACCTTTGTATTGTTATTTATAGTGTGAATTTTGCAAAATGAGAAGCTGACAAGCACTACAGTAGGAAATATGGTTGTTCAAGGGAAGCAGTAATCAGCTTTCTGGGACTTCCCCACAGCCTGGGGGCCTGGAAGACATTTGTTCCACCAGAGGCTGCTCTTGGAATCTGTAACAAATCCCTGCCCCCTCTTAAGTCTCTGTTCACACCAAAAAAACAAAAAACCCAAAACAAAACCCAAAAAAGCCTTGGCACAACAGGGAAGGGCTGATGTAGGAACCACACCAAAAACAATTTAGATTCTGCAGCAATGGAAGCCCTTATAAAGTTTGGGATGGACTTGCAGCACAAGCACAGCCACAACTGTGTAATATTTCCCATTACTGGTGGTTGGAGGTTGATTTGGGGTTTATTTAATGATCCTGCCAAGCACAGGGAGAGAGAAACCAAATCCCCTTCCCATGCCATGAGGAATTGTTGAGTCTGCCTCACCAGAGGGAACTGAGCTATCAAACTGCAGCCAGCAATGTTCAGATAACATTTAGCACTTAGATAATTATGTGAATTTTCCAGATACCCTCAAAATGACACACCACCCTTTCTAGATGTGTAACCATGGTGGACTTCAATGGCTGGTGCAGGGCTGCTCAAAAAAATGTCATTCCACCTAAATGCCAAGTTCTGAATGCTGCACCTTCAAATTGTTATTTTCCACTCCCAGTCCATTTCACTCCTTGTGTATTTTTCTCTGCATCTTCCCACTCCCCACAGTGAACACAAAGATAAGCACACTGAAAACCTTGCTGAGCAGGATCAGATTGTGTAAAAAAATACACATATTAAAGAGAAAAAAGATGATACCCAAAGTCTGTTTCTCAGTGCTCAGAACAGACTTGCATAAACTCCACAAACAGCAAGATAAACAAAATATTATGAGAAAAGAAAAAAAGCAAAAATGTAAGCTTAGGGATTAAAGAAAAAAAAGAGAATAGTAAAGTGAAACAAGTGTAGTATAAAAACAGTAGGAACAATTATTTTATCATGTGGATCAGAATGACTGAAGTGAGATGGCAATAAATATTTTATCAACACTGAATACTGGACTTTCACAATGCTCCTGAATACTGGCAAAGTATGGAGAGGGCAGAACTAACAATGTCTGACAGCAAGTAGAAAATGAACACACATTCAGTGTTTCACAAGATCACTACAAGTGATATGATTCACCCTAATTAATAATACTTTTTAAAAAAACTTCAATTACTACACAATTTTCAGAGGTCAGAGGTGATTTTCCTGAGGGGCACTGGAACACAGAAACATGAATGTCCTGTTGTAGTGGGTTTGACACTGGACAAATGTCAGTGCATCTATGAAAAATCATAAAATTCACTCATTTTCCTCTGCTGCAGTTGAGCAGAGGAGGAGAAAAGAATAATTAAAAAATTCATGGGTGAGATAAGGATCTGGAAAATGCATTTTAAGGGCAAAACAGGCTCCAAACTTAAAAAGGTATAAAAAAAATTATTAGAACAATTAAAAGGAAAATAAGAATGAAAAGAAACCTTTAAAGCACTTTTCCCCTCCCCCTGCCCTTCTTTCCTTCCACATGGACAGCAGAGGAAGACAAAACATGAAATTTTTAGTCAGTTTGTCACTCATAAAAATCTTCCTTCATTTCACTTAGGGAGAGGAGTTTCTTATGCTGTGTCATGGAGTCCTTCCTACAGGAGACAGTTCTGTGAACTTTTCCAACATTTTTAATTTTGAATTTCCACCAGTCACGGTCCCACCCAAAACCTGCCTTAACGTGAGTCCCTCCCATGGGCAAAACCAGTTTTCCCACAACTGATTTTTTAGTTTCCATGGGCCATTTAGTTTATGGAGTGCAGTTTTTAAGGATGAGCTGTTCTGGTATCAAAGAAAGGGTCCTCTTCCTCTATCTCCCAAAGTAAGGGAGATACTCTTTGTTCTAACCTCTCACTAGATCACAGTTTCTCAGTGTCCACACGTTCCAGGGTGAACACACTCTTCTCACAGGCTGTGGGTGAATGCTGCATCCCCCCATGCACTTAATGAATTCCAGGGAAACAGTTTGTTGTATTACAGCCCTCGCCACAGCTTGCAAAAAGAATCTCAGCTCTGATGATCAGAGCATCTCCTCCTCCCCCTCCCTCCTTCGCACCGACTTCAGTGTCACCATGTTGCTCTCCAAATTTGTCCTCACTTTTTCCTTTTCTATGGCT